CATGTTTCACTGCGCGACCCATAATCGTCGTTATATAATTCGTATCACCGAAGGAGCATATTTTTTTTATGATAGTTCTAGTGGCTTTTCTGAGCGAAGTTAGAAAGGTCAATTTCAAACCGACGTCCGATGTTGAACAGGCAGTATCGTGGATAAGGTACTTACTTGTGAATTATAGTGCGGCTTATGGGTTCAGTATAGAAATGTATATAGTTAAATGTTCATGAATTCTTTTCAAGCTTCTGAGCTTTTGGTCCAAAAAACTTTGAATATGTAAGCGCTAGATGGGCTGAGATTCTCTGTGCTCTGACGACCGAAAATACTCGACGATATGATGTGTGAGCTTTAGCAGGTTTTCTAAAATGCAAACATCAACACTGGTTACGAATAGGGTTTCACTTAGAATACGCTCTCTCATAAAGACAATTCAAGCTGGGCCGGGCAGACCAAAACGCACTACCTTCAATTCGGCAAATGTCCTGAACTAGAGCTCGCAATTATAAATATTTGTATAGACGACCTTACGGCTTGTCGGGACATCTTTCTCAGAGACATGCAGCTGATGTCAAACACGGCACTGTCTAGTAACTGTAATGCCTGGGTGGCATGCGTCTTGTTTGAATTGCTATGCCGAGCTTCATAAGCTTCACTTCGAGCGAACTAAGCTGCATACTTATCATACGCGAAACCCTGGATAAACAGATTATGTTCGTTGGGATGGATTCTATTGATGCCGCCTGCGACCTACTAGGTTCTACGAATTCCATCAAATAGACCAGTCGGCACATTGTTGTCGGATTTTCGAGGTCGACTTACAGATTCAGCTATTGGAACATCGAACTCTGTTGAAGTACTTCGAACATTCGAAGATCAGTTCTTTACAAAGATCCGTCCACGATTACAGTGAGAAAAAATGGCAAGGCGTATGTTGCGAAACGCCAAATAATTCGACAATATAAACTCGTCGTGCATAGGACAGTAAGTTGCTACCGGAGCTCAAGCTATCATTAGATATAGTGTTCGGGTACTCTTGATAGTTCTGCTTATCTGAGCGTCTAATAAACAGATACGCTAATATGGCAGTGAGATAAGCCCTGGTAGGCGAAAAAAATTACATCGCAATTATATGCATTCAATTCATTATTATCTATTACATAAATGAACCACGTTTTAGGGCTGATTCAAACAGAATCAAATCCTCCACGCTCAGCAAACAACAGCCTAAGCCTTAAAGCTTTTACAGCAAGATCTACCCATCTTTTGTATTGCTCTCTGTGTATGAGTCTGTGTATTCTTATATGCGCGTGTGTCATATTGAATACGTATGTATTTGTCTGCGCTCGTTATATGTAGCAAGTTGTTTTAGCTTAACCCCCTGCCATGCACTTATCCCATTTATTAATAACTCCGCGTGAGTATCTGCTCCTCCCCCGTGTAACCCCTTGATCCCCCTCTATTTTATGTGCCTCAACTAGTTAGCTATTAATGTTCCCATTTCGGTTGTGGTCGTCGGAGAAGTTGTCGTTAACGTCGACATCCTTTCCCATTGCTAATAAGCTGGCCGTCGTTGTTTTTGATATCATAGTCATTTTAGAATATTGTTAATGCTCCTCTTTTTAGGCAACTTTGTATCCATTTCTGTTATAGATCTCCTTCAATTTGCTACATCTTGCTTTCCCTTCAGGTAGTGAGAGCAGGACAGCGGTCAGATAGACGCACACAAACGCAAATAAACATGTGCATATGTGCCTACATAAATAAATGTCCGATGATACACATACACGGACTCAAGTATGTGAAGCCTGCGTAAGGAACACAGATATACACATCTATATATACCAATAAACCACTGGTACGCAAAGCGAAGACTCAAACACATATACACATTAGACAAATCTGCACATCAACGGCGTACACATCAGACAGCCAAGTGTCCGCACAGCGCTGTACTATAGACGACCAGACGGCCGAACGGATAAACAGCCCGTCGGGTACTGAAGAGACACGGGCATGCTATTATCCATCTTCAACACCGCCACGACTGCGAGCGCGTTGGGAACGGAACGCTCACATTCGCAAAGAGCTGGCAACGGGAGTAGTAGAAGTATGGGAAAATATGGGGGGAAAAACAGAATCCAGCGTTCCTGGGTTCGCCTCAGCCATCAGAGTGAGGACCTGAAAAGATCAACCACGGGGGACGGAGAGTGAGTGAGCCACTTCGCAATCCCACGACGGAGACGCCGGCTATTCTATAAGGAAGATAAGAACAAGAACCGGTAACGCAGCAGTTCACATCAAACACAACGGAACTAGCAACTCGGCCAGCAATGGAAGAACGAGCGAAGACACGATGTTCTGCGTTGCTCGCATCCGCCACCAGGTAAAGGAGCTGAGGGGAAATTAGGAGGTAGTAGTCTTGTTGGATGATTTTGTCCGGTTTCGTTCAGGATGGGTGCCCGTGTATGAATCGCCGACAGGGTTCTGTGCGACACGGTAGAGCGTGGCATATCGCTACCAACAGCAAAAGCATTGCCCTAACGGCGCGCAGTAGTAGTACTAGTGGTTGCCGTCACTGCCTAGTCCTTCGTTTTGCTACCTTTAGTCGCTTCATAACGACCCTAGCGGGCCGGCACCGAAGCTAATGCTGGTTCTAGTCTAGCCAAAGCATCCTTCGAACTGCCAACTCCTCATAACTTTACCCGGTGACGGGGTGTCTGAGGGCCAGAGGGGTTGGCAGGAATATAGGAAACGCCCTATATGGAATGGGCGAAGCCACCTCGGCTCCCAATGGGAGGACGGGTGCGGGGGGGGAGTGAATTGCTGCTCAAGGCGACCTCGTAGTGAGTAGTAGTAGAAAGCTGTAGAAGTCGCAGTTGCTTTTCCCGGACGGAGGAGAATGGGGAAAGTCGAGGGGGTAACGCCGAGAATAACAACAAACCATCGACGGAAAGCAAATTGACAACCAGTTGCTCAAACACATTATGAAAGCCAATGTTGCCCCGCTTTTGTACGCAGGTAAAGACAGATCGTGTTTTATGATGAATTTTAGACGTACCTTGAGAGCCTAAAAGTTTCAAAATATATTTTTTGGTAAATCGACAAATTATAAGCGTATCCGCCCATTTATCACTCTGCTGTTTTTATCCTGCGTAAAGCTATATCCGATGGTCCACTGGTTCAAGTAGGGAACACGTTGTTTTCATCCCTTTTGTTAGAGAGCTTTAACAATCTAAAAGAGCGCGCAAAGGCATACAAAATAATTGTGAGTTGACAGATAAAACTTACTATGGTAAAAAAAAGTTTGAGATGTATTTCAGAACTTGTAGTTAGAAAAATATTTATACATATACATTCCGTTGTTTGCGAATGCAGGTCGAATATATGAATTGATCTCTAGATTATGACAAGGGAATCTTCCTTACTCCATCACAAAAAAGAAGCACAGGCTTGGCAATTTCGCGTCCAGGTTACAAAAACATACCTCAACCATAATCGATTTTTAAATTCTGTTTAATTTATAGTAATAGAATATTCTATTTGTCAAGATCTTTTTAATGCTAACCGGTTCAAACGATTTATATGCCTTTACCATTTGTAAATCGCAAATTGCACTATACCCATGAGTATTTTTATGCATGGATATAGTGAAAAATTCCTGGAGAAGTATGCTTAGAATAGTTATTATCGCCTCAGACTCATTGCGGCATACTTAAACGGAACAACGAAATTTCTGTACTAACAATAAAAAGTGACTATCCTCATAGTGCACACATCATATATGTTCCATGCCTGTTAATTCATTCTAGGCGCCTGTCGCTCTATCGCCTATTTTTCTTTCTTTAGCAACGCTTATTCCAGCCGCTCTGCGTCGTCAAAGCCAGCCTCCAGCCTCCCACAACCATTCCTCAGGCTCTTTTCCAACTCCGTCTATCGTTCACTGCCGCTTCTATCGCTGCTGAGAGTCCTCTTGTCCGTGGACCTCTGCCTGGCCGTACGCTTAACCGCCCGCCCGCTCGCCCCACGACGAAGGGTCGTCAATCCGTCGTCCCTCCTCTATCATAGGCTCCATCCGTCGTTCGTTTGTTGCCCTCTGTCCATTATTCCATGGTTCCTGCAATACTTCCTCTGACTGGGTCGCGTCTATGTGTCTGTGTATCCCTCTCCTGTATGACTCTCTGTCTGTTATGTGCGTGCTCTTAACAAGCCTGCTTCACTGCTCTCTGTTCACCGCGTCTTTTTCGTCCGCTCGTTCGTTTGTCCATCTCCTTCTCTGTTCTCTCACTGCCAGCAACCCGTCCTCCCCGGCTGTTCACCCCCGTGTTTCCTTCGTCCACCTCCTCCCTCCCCTCCTTTACCATGTTCAAGTAAACGGTGCCTGCCGGAGGTTTCCTGCTGCTTCCGGAGCCGCCACCGCTACCACCACCACGGCGATCGCTCAACTCCTCTGCTAATGCTACTGCGCCTCCGGCAACGCTGCCACTCAACTCACTATAATTCTCTATATAGTGCCGCGCGCCCTGCCTTCCTTGGTTGGCGCCGCTGCTACTTCTCGTATGCGCGTACAGGGCTAGCACGGCAAGAGCGGAAATATAGCGAACGCGGCAGGCCGGCCGACTGGTTTCAGGCAGGCAGAGCAGGTTCGGCAGGCCGGCCGGCCGGCTGGCTGGCTGGCTGGCTGCCTGCCTGCCTGCCTGCCCGCTCTGCGCTGCAGGCTGCATACAGTTGCTGCCGTGGCGGCCGCTGCCGCCGCCACTCGCTCACCGCGCCAGGAGCTGGCACAGCTTGGGCAGACGGGCAGAGAGAAAGAAAGAAAGAGAGAGGGAGAGAGAGAGATAGAGAGCGAAAGCGAAGAAATACAAGAAAGGAGGGGAGTGTCGCCCTCACCAATTCGCCTCGTTTACCCTTTCCCACTGTGTGTGTGTGTGGACGCTGACGGGGCGGCAGATCGCTCGTGGCCATTGAAAGGTGCGGAGCTCGTGCGTGTATGTGTGTCTGTTGAGCGCAGCTCACCACCATCCTCATCTACACAGTGGAACTACTAGAGACACTAGTACAACTACAGCGATTATACACAACTCTAGCAGATTCGACTCAAGTGATCGCTATTGTTTTGGTTCGTATCTATTATATAAGTAGATGTCACGGTGGCGCGATTTAATTCTGGTGCAATTGAAGTTCCGTCAATGTCAATGAATCATCATCGACATAACAAAGATTAAACGGTAACGCCGTTATTTAACAGTTAAACAGACGTCTTGGAGCTGTCGGCGTTCTAGCTCTTGCCGCCCTATCGCTTCATGCTACAGCGGCGCGCACTGGATTACTGGCCCCACTCCCCCGTTTTAGCGCCAACATTGTTGCAGCCAGTGCAGCGGCAGCAGAAGAATAAGGCGCCGCTTCTTCGGCTACCGACACTGTCACTGCTGTCACCGCTGTGAGAAGCAGCAGCTCTATTAGAAGCAAAGCAGTCGGTCGGTCGGTCGGTCGGAACGTGCGTGCGTGCGTGCGTGCGTGCGTGCGTGAGGGTGTTATTGTGTCTTCTCCACCCCACCTCGCGCAGCAGTGGCCGACGGCCCCACTACCCCCTTCCCCACCTCCCCTTCCCCTTGTGCTGTCTCAGGGGCGCACCACACAGCGCTCCCTTCGCGCAGCCGCTGCCAGCCAGCGTCGCCACAAAATCGTCTGCTAACCCCAGCTGGGGCTGATCCACATCGTTACGAAAAATAAAAAAAAAAGAAAGCGCGAGCGCTAGACAGACAGAGACAGAGAAAGAGAGAGAGAGAGAAGGAGAAGGACTGGGTAGGTCTTCGATACAGTGAAAAAGGGAAAAAATTTTCAGCGGCAGTGAGAACAACAACAGCGACCGTTATTACTGCTCTTTTCTAATTAGCAGCTGCTACAGTGCGTTATGATGTATCTTTCTGGTAAATGTAACGATACAAAACGGGAAAGAACAGATGAGTAGTCTGTTTAAGAGGATATAAGGCTATATGTGTCAACGGAACATCTATTCTTTGAAAAAGGGATACACTCAATTAGAACGCGTTACGTTGAATGTACGAGTACTTACAAAAAGACAAGCAGCGGAAGAAAAACAATATCCGGAAAGAGTAGAGGATCGACGTGCACCAAAACAAATTGTGCATAGTCAGCGCCACCTACGATCAACATTATTGGCAGAATCGCAACGATTTCGGCCGGTGCTGTGATCAGTCTTCGCCAACTATTGTCGTTCATCAGCATCCGACGGCCTGAACCTCGGAGGCTGTCGATAACTGCGATAACTGTCACCGAAACGGTGTTGGTGGACTGCCCGCTCTTTAGCCCATCTTTACACATCGCCACACGAAGAAATTGCGTCCCTTCGCCGCTGCTTCTCCTCTTCCTCCTCCCCCTCCTTTTTTATCCTGGTAGGCAGCATCATCGTCGTCGTCGTCGTCGTTATGGTGGTCGCTGATGTGATAAAATCGTCGTCGACATTTTGAATTGCGTTTGTGTCGCAACCGCTCCTGCTGTTGCCGATTCTGATTGGTAGCCGCAGCGGCAACGATACTGACTTGCCATCGCTGAGGAGTGCCGAGAAGATTATTCGAGTATGCAGAATATTAATGCGACAAAACCAAGAAGAAATATCATTGCGACAAAAAAGAAATAGAAAAGCAGCAGCAGCAACAACGGCGACAAGCGAACGAAGAAAGAGAAGAAGCTGTTCTTTCTTTGAGCCGATCGAGACACGACTTCTAAGACGAATTCGCTTAGCCAAGGACTGAGCGGAGCAACGGCGGCAACGGCAACGGCGGCAGGAGCAACAAAAAACTAATCGAAGAACGACTGATCTGAGAAGGGCCTGGAGACAAAAAAAAAAAAGGTAGAAAAAAGTGCAAGCACAAGCAAGAGGAACAGTAGCAGCAGCGCCGTCAATAACAGAGCATTTTTCACAGCAGCCATAATAATAACAATCATAATATCAAAAAGCTGAAGCACGACCTGCAGGTAGAAGAACCTCTATCCGGCGTTTTGTCAAGCGTCCGCTTTGTTGTGCCGCAATTACCCGGCCACAAGAACTAGTGTTGTTACTAACGATTCGCCTCTCAGTTCGCCTTGTTGCCTCAGTCCGACCTATGTCGGTTAGATCTCGGTCTTCACACTTTAGCCAGCCCTGCTCCTATCGTTATTCCTCACCGGCCACACGCCGTCCTTCTCTCACTGAGTGGCTGTGGGTGTGTTTGTGTGTGTGTGCGTGTGCGCGTGTGTGTGTGTGTGTGTGTGTGTGTGTGTGTGTGTGTGTACGTTCGTGCGAGCGTGCGTGTACGCTCACGCACCCTTCTCGACATATCCGTTTGGGTGCCACTTTGTCGATTGCCATCCATATTTTTGGAGCTTTTTAAATTCAGAGTTTCACAGAGGGAAATGATATGTTGTTAGTGGCCGAGTCGCTTTTCGAATCACTTGCTTAAGAACGAATCAAAACAACCAGATGCAGCAGGATTGCTTCTAAATGTAAATCTTTTTCTGTAGACACGTTTTACGGACGATTAGCAGACAGCTACAGATTAATGAATGCCCCTAACTGATCGCAAATTAGAAGTACTTCCATCCTTTCACCCTTAACAAACGCAACGTGTCGATTTGCTCAGATGCTTCTAATGTATCTCTTATACGCGCAGCATCCGTATTCAAAGTAGTCGTTCGTGCCTCTTTACAGCCGTTCATTCGCCTCTTCGTTTGGCCAATTCGACACGTCAACAACAACAACAACAACAACAACAACTGAACTATAATCACAGGCATCTTAAACAACGTCAATATTCGAATCCATATCATCGACGTCATCATCCGTTCGAGTGGTAACGTTGGCGTATTTGGTGTCGAAGACCGGAACGAGCAAGAACAAAGGGGGATCGTAGGTGTTGAGCCCTGTATACAACAGATTCCTGATTGGCTTTCCATTGTTGTTGTCGCTGCTGCTGCTGCCGCTGTTGGTCAAAGCCATCTTTTGGCCCCCTTGCCCATCGCTGCAGTCAGTCACCGATATCTTCCTTCTTTCTCTTCTCTACAACGGCCCGCGCAGCAGCAGCAGCAGCGGCGGCGGCGGCGGCGGCGGCAGCAGCAGCAACAGCGGCGGTGGCGGCAGCAGCAGCAGCAGCAGCTCTACGAGAAACCGCGCTACGGAAGCAATTTACCGTGTGTGACGACTACGACGTCGCGCCGCGCCGCGCCGCGCCGCGCCGCCGCCGTTACCGACAATAACGCAATATAGCAGCAGCAGCAGCAGCAGCACAACAGACCGACGACGGCGCGCCGCTACGATCATCAGCGGTGGGACTCTGTTTTGCCGTGGCGTTGCTCTGCGTCGAGTGCTGTGTACGAAGTGTCCGTTGCTGTCAACTGCGAATAGTGGCAGTGAGTCGTGCCAGTCAGCGGCAGTACGAGGAGCAATAGGGGTTGACGGTAGCGATGGTGCTTGTCGGCGTTGTTGGTGTGCGTTTTTTTGCCACAGTCCGCACACAGGCACAGTTTAGTATAGTATCGACGCATCGCATTCAGAGTCGGCTGCAGAACGAGAAGAACTGTGCCGGCATCGTTGCTGCTGCTGCTGCTGCTGCTGCTGTTGCTGCTGCTGCTGTTGCAGTTTAAGCGACGACCGTGTTGTCGCGGTGAGTGGAGACCAGACGACGACGACCGAGCGGCGAAGCGGCCAGGCAGGCAGGCAGGCAGGCAAGCAACGAACAAGTGTAGTGTCATACCTGTCTCGCTTGTTTCTTCTGGAGAAGGATGTTTAAAGGCATTCGGCGCTCGTGCTGATGGCGGTGGCGTTGCAGCTGCTGCTGCTGCTGCTGCTGCTGCTGTTCTTTGTAGTAGAAATCGTTGTGAGTACTGACAACAGGAACGACGACGACGACCACGACATTTGCTGCTGGCCCCAGAAGCCACAGCTTCTGCTGCTGCAGCAGGAGTAACAGTTGTCGTTGTAGCTGTAGTAGTACTGGTGGTGGCGGTGGTAGTAGTAGTAGTAGTAGTAATCGTAGTAGTAGTAGTGGTAGTAATAGTAGTAGTTGTAGTAGTAGTAGCAGCAGCATAACAACAGTCAGTGGTGAAGCGTCGGACAACATAGCAAGTGACTATTGCCAGCCAAAGAAAAAGGGAAGAAGGAGGCGTGTAATGTGCTGCCGATACGTGGTCAATTTCGTTCGTTTGTCCGTCCGTCCGTCCGTTCGTTCGTCCGTTGAACTGCGTCGAGAGTTCAGACGCCGGCCTGAGTTAGCTCTAGCTAAGTGAGTCAGGCCGGCCCGAACCGAACACCACGGGGACAAAAAGGAACGAAGGCTAACAGGCCGGATAGGATCAGTGCAGAACAGCATTGCTACATAATAAAGAATCGAAAACAAACAAACAAGAAGAGGAAAACAAAAGAGGGTTTCGACGAAGTCATCGTTAGACTTCGTCGATTTATCGATTAGTTGATTGATTGCTAAGGTTAAGAGAAAGCGAATTGCATGAGATAACGATTGGCGATGACAACGGCGACAGAAAAATATTGATTCGCTGGATTAACAACATCTCGACATAGATCGATGTACAAAATGATCGTTTCTATGGCCTTTAAGTGTGCGTATTATGTGTGTGAGTGCTTATGTGTCTCTCTGCGGATTACTCTGTAAGAAAGATCGTGTGAGAAAGGAAGCAATACTGTTTGGATACATTGATGTGTTAATGCTTTGTGAATGCGCAAATAATTGTGACAAACATTTCCTCTGCTGTATTGTGGAGGAAATGCTTGTAGTGGTGCCCGAAAAAGGAATAAAATCTAGTTCAGCAACGGGATAAGGACTATATTAGAGAAACTTCAACGAAGATGAAACGCAACTGCTGACGAATCTCAGTGACGAAAAAAAAAAAACCAGAAAGGAAACAGGTTCTATCATCGTCGTCGTTGTCGCGTCTCGTCCAGCGCTGCACCTCGACGGCGCATATGTTCCATCGCACGAAGGATTAACCAGGAGACATTTTTCCCAAAGACAAGAAAAGCATTCGAATTGCGCTCATCGCAAAAAACTAGTTGTAAGCAAAATTAGTGGTCAATTAATGATGCTGCTCTGTGATATCGGCGCTAGCAGCACCGGCAGGAGTGCGCGATGTCGGAGACAATAACAGCAGAATCGACGGCGACGCTACAGGCGATGGGGTGCTAACTATTACGTTATAGATGATTAGTGTGGGAGCGAGGCGCTCGCTTCCTGTGCAGCAGTCAGGCCGTAAAAGTATAGAGGGAGTAAGGAAGAAATAATAATAGTGCTGTTGAGGTGAGTGCCTGTTTGGCTGGTGAAGACGGCAAGCTGATCGCAAACGGAACGTGTACTTATAGTAAACAGCCAGCTGCTATTAGTCGCAACGCCATCGCGGAGAGGTAGTCGCAATAGTAACAACGACAAAGCACAAATCCAATTTGGATTGCCGTCAAAACACAGGTAAGCGATATAAACACACACCTACACACACACACGCACTTAACAAAATAGAACTGTCAGTTTTGATCTAATTCTTTCTGCGTTGATTGCACACAGCGGGCTGCCTCATTCACTCAAACTATTGTAGAATCGAGCGATTTTGACCACAGAGGGGACGTTTCTCTACATCGAACTGCACGTAATACCCAGTAATCCGGCGTCTGTCATGGCATAACGGGATTATTATCGTATCTACAGAATGTTCTTGTGCTACTTTCACCTAAAAATTTAAACACTGGTCCCTTTTGACCGCTGCCTTAAGTAACCCGCATGTGTATTTGTTAGCAACCGCGAAAGGAATATTTTATTTACTTACTGTAATGCTATGTCGCGTCGAAGAAGAGACGGTCCAATATCATCGACACCAACTTTATCATTCAATGACATCGGACGCTGGCGGTGGTCATAACTATGGCAATGTGTTATACCCACTTTTTCGTATCTGCCTGCGCCTGGTATTGTTATTATTGCCATTTTTTTATTGTTATTACTATTTTAGTTTAGAACGGCCAAGCAAACAGTAGAACATGAATTTAAGACGAAGCACAGCGGCAGCGGCGGTCCCGGCAGGCTCTCTGCGTGTCGAGCGTTTGCGTATATCATCGTCAGCGTTGCTATTGCTTGTGACGCTAGCCGTCTGTGGAGTCATCGCCTTGCTCAATGCGTCTGTTTGTATGTGTATGTCACTCTCGACCGCTCTGTCCGTACGACCAACCGTGTCGATTCGCGATTAACAACTACGTTCCTGTTTAACTGTTGTGCCTTTGTGTGAACGATCGTCTCTCTGTTTCATCTCCGTCGTTCGAATGAATGAGATTACGCTTCAGTCGCCGCCGCCGCCGCCGCCGCCGCCGCCGCAGCCGCCTCCGTTTTTGATGGGACGCTACGGTTGTCGCTGCCTGGACGTCGACAAGGCAAGAACCACGACGCACAGCGGCGTGCGCGCTACCAGCTCAAGCGCAGACCCAATTGCTTCTGTTCACTACGAACAAATGAAAAATGTAGCAGGCGAGGGTACGACTCCGTACTAGCCACCGACCGTAGTACGCCAATAACAAACAGATTCTAGCTCTGACTAGTACGCACACAGACAATATATACATGTATACAAATCGCACTGGCGAATCGTCTCTTCGTCGTTTTCAGAACATATTATATAATGGCAGCGCGTTACATATCGCTACAAGTCATATTGAAATATCTAAATGACTAGCAACATGCCGGACATATACATTATCTTAATGAGATATATAGCCTTGTAGATAGATTTTGTCTACACTATCATTGTCTCTCGACTATGAAATACGTGGCTACCCTAGGCATGACAGGACCCATTGCAACAAAAAGTGCTCTTGTCTGACTGACCGGCTCATATTGGGCGACAGCAGACATTGGTGTCACAGATAACAAACACGTTTATAATGTGCGTGTTCCCTATACGATTAGTTATATATATATATATATATATATATATATATATATATATATGGCGAGCCAGTCATATGGTACACCGATTCAAAACAAGGAAGTGATTCGTTGTAACAGTCTAGCATTAACCATAAACATAATTACCATCACCGTAATGTCGGTTAGGATAGTGGAGTGTTGTTTTACTAAGAAGCAAAGGAAATGGCAGTATTACATAGTTATTGACCGAATCGTGCAATACAGGTTTCTCATAGGCACGACTCAGTATGACGAGGCTGGCAATAATCACTCTGCTGCTGCGAGAAAGCGGTGTCGTCGTCGGCGGCTACAGATGGATCAATCGATGTTTTGTTTGTATGTATGTATATATATATATATATATATACAAAAACATGTCTGTGTGTATGTGGCGGTGCTACGAATGCATCGTGCTTTGGCGTCACTGATACAACCCTTTCCAGCTGGGCGACTGTGGCATTTTTGTGAAGACTATTATATTATGGACATGAAAGCGATAAATTGGTAAGGAGACAGCGATACTGGCACATCGAGAGCCGAAAAATATTTCCTCTAATATCCTATGAAGTATCTGAATGTCGTAAAAGGGCTTCAAAGTAGTACTGCAAACGGGCCCTAGCGTTCGTGTGTTTGTGTATGTTGTCCGTGGCTTCCATTTATATGAACTAATTCGAAATGCACTAAAAATAAAATACTAACTCCCTCAAGGACGAGAGATAAAAAGCCATTGCTGAAAAAATAGATTCCGTACGCGGTCCCGCACAACAGCCCTTTTCCAATTTCGAGATAGGATAAACCTTACTATTTACTCGTATGCCATAAAATCAGCGAAGCGGACGTTGTTCATTATCGAGTAATAGCTAGCAGTACGTATCTTCTGTTACGGAACGCAACAAAACGTATCAGTTACCGAAAACGAAGATGTTGATAATAATTATCACGTCATTAATGTTGGCCGGCGGGTCATGATGGGTTGAAGAGTTGTAGTAATAGTCATCATTACGATTGGCGCCAAATCTAATGAGAAAGTCGATGTCTTTACCTTTTTTTTGCGGTGTTGCTAACAAATGAGCGTCTGTTTGACAGTCGTCCTATTGTAGTCAGCGTCCTCGATGCTGTTGTTCTTGTAATCGCCGTTATTATCTCCTTGGCATAAATCATAGCCGTTTCTGATTAGAACGACAGTAGCAAGCTTATTTATAACATTTATGCTAACGTTGGCGGCAATGATGATCTAATGAAAGTTATCTTGTGACTATGGTCTAACGATACCTGATAAAGTAAACTGAAACAATGGGCCAACTTATATGGGATGTAATGACGACCAATCGAGACAATCCAGCCAGACAGCCGGCGTATATCTTATAATATACGCGATTAGCGATTTAATTTATATTCTGAAAATGCGTTTTAGCATGAAATCAAAATTAAATTTATGTCTCAAATCTAGCGAAGTAGCTATCTGAAGTACATCCAGTGAGAATGCTGCCACTAATCGGAAGTCGTTGACAATGTCTATTAGTTGGATGGCTACGTCGTGCTGGCTCGTTTTATCTCTATACATATATATATCCCATCAACATAATGTAACGCTACATTTATTTTACTGGTAGAAGTTTTGGCAGAGTGTTGCATAGGCACTTTGAAACGGTCGCTACCGCTGCGCCTATGCAGCGAACGGACCTTTGAGTGAAAGTTTTCTTACCAACTGCGCGCATGTATGTGCCTGTGTGTATGCCGTATGTACATACATTCGCGAACTGATAAAGGCTGATCAAGTGTATCATGCACGACACGTTCGCACTACATTACGCCTATGGGGCTATAAGCTATTTTTCTTAATGTACATCTCCTTCACTGTCTTTTCGCAGCTAGCTGGTCGCTGGATAGCGGGAGCCTCAACTCTGATCCTACTGCTACCGCTATTCCTGTGACCGTCGGAGGCTCCATGACTAATATTTAAGGTTCAATTTGTAGATAGATGCAGTACGTCGCAGTGACCCTTTTGTTTTCATTGTTTCTTTAAGATGGACACTGCATTAGCGAGAACAGGCCGCAAATATATGGAAGCAATAGAGGCTATCGGTGAGAAATGATCGCATCCACTCTAGCCCGCGACTAAACTTCCTTGTATCAAGTTTTGGCTGTCGATTAAGGGTGCTCTAGTACGCATACGTCCTAGATTTGTGACTGACTGAAACAGAAACGAACGATCTTCCTTATTCTGTTCTATGTGTGCGTCAAATTAGTATTAGAACCTTTGAACGGCAAATCGATCGCCATATTTGCAGTATTTCTTTGAACTGCAAGCATATATCGATGGTGAAGAATACGACCGCGTGGTAAAACGTATAATTAGATTAATTTTAATAGGGAAAACAGAATGTGTTAGATAGAGTCATAAAGAAAAAATGAAATAACGTGTACTTTATGGTCATAGTCGCTTGTCTACAAGATAGGCGGACACGGTTCTTTTTCGGAAATTGAGTCCCCGTTGAGAGCTTTGTTGCTGCACGCGATCGTATAGTGTCGCTGGAGCTGCGTATTCAAATAACGCCTAGAACTAATATCAGCAATTGGCTCTGACGCTGACAGGTATAAAAGCACGTACCGATAACGATTTGAGTACCAGTAAAAAAAAAGATTGTCGTTTTGTTAACCGTGGCCATGCGTTATCATTTTGTACGCAGGTGCCATTGTTATTAAATAGCGGCACGTATACAAAGGCATTTTTCATCCACTTACGTATGAGGCCTCTGTCGGACTAAATATATTGTTGATGGCAAAACGCCGTACGAATACTACGAGTTCGGTCCGAGACGTAACGTGGCTCTGACATGCAGGATGAATGCGAAATGAATTCGTTCACGCGCTAGACAAGACAGACAGCCTTTCTATTGTTACTTACTATTATCGTTTTGGGTTGGTTAATTATCTACCGTGGCAGTTTAGGGTTTTGCCTAATAATACCCATAAAGTAACGCCAATTTACAGTATGTGCACTGTTTGTGAAAGCTTGGCTAGTCAAATTAATTTAAATACAATTTGTGCCAATAATGGTGACAAGACAAAGCTATCATTAGTGGAAAAACAAGAATCTCTTATGTTTATGAGATAACTTACGTTTTCTCAATCAGTTTCATTCGTCGTGGGTTTATTATTATCGCAAATTTGGTATCATTTGTGTTGCTGCCATGGCATGGACGGAAGAGAGGTTACGTATTGCAAGCTCTGACCATCGCCGCTGGCAGCATCACCGCTCTAAAATGAATATGATGGTGATCGTCATGCGGACAATGACGGCGGTGATAATGACACCGTGATGATTGCGTCTTGGCCCACTGCTACTAAAGTGGTACGATGTGAACAAGATTTTCGTTTCCTTCTCTAAACATTGGTTTTGTTAAAGATATTCTTGGCAGAACCGCTTCCCCCACGCTCTCGCCTTCTCCCTAGCTCAGCCATCGACTCTGATCAGCTTTATTTTTGCTGCGGTTTTTCGATAACTATGTTGT